GAAATACCTGAGACTGGGTAATTTATAAAGGAAAGAGGTTTATTTGGCTTACGATTCTGGGACAGCTGCATCTGGCACGGGCCTCAGGCTGCTTCTACTCATGTCGGAAAGTGGCAGGCAGCTGGGGGTACAAGCAGATCACATGGTGAGAGGAAGCAAGAGAGAGAGGTGGTGCCAGGATCTTTTAAACAACCAGCTCTTGTGGGAACAAACAGAATGAGAACTCACTCATTACTCCCCCCATCCAGGGAAAGCATCAGTCCATTCATGAGGGATCCACCCCCATGACTCAATCAGTTTCCAACACTGCCACATTAGAGATCAAATTTCCATAGGAGTTTTGGAGGGGACAACACATCCAAACTCTATCAGACAGTGACACCTGAGAGATGTGCAACAGTGACCTTTGCCCTATGACTGCCTCAGATTAGTGCTCCAGAGAGTTTCCAGGCTATGGTGTTGTTGTGTGGCATGGGTTTTGGGATATTTTAGTTGAGAAGATGGAACTGAGTCTGGAGAACAAGGTGGTCCACTTCCATTAAGCCATTCCCCATGTCTAGTTCCCACATGTGCAGGGCTGTCATGTGCCATCTTTACTCCAACAAGATGTGGTCACAGAACTATAGGAGCAGAACAGAAGCAAAAAGCAAAATGCAGAGAAGCCATTCTAAGGAACTTGGCCTTCAGTCATTTCTCCATATACCCAACTGGAAAAAGGTAGAGTCCTTCACACAACATAGTCATCTGCAACAAGACCAAAGATAAAGGAATACCCTTTAGAGATGAAGTAAATGATATGTATAAATAGGATGAACCACCTCATGTGACCACCAATCTGCCTTTCCTGTGTTATCTTGTTACCTGTGGCTGACAAACTCAGTACATTATGGAACAATGCAGGCAGAGCTTTCTACTTATAAGAGCAGAACACAATTACCACCCAAAGAAGGAGAAACCAGGAAGGCTTATTTTCTCTATTTGTTTCCCTAGAAAAGTTTTAGTTTTCTTTAAATTTTGGAATCACCTTGCTTCTGCTCTTTACTAGAGAAATGCCACAGTCTATGTAGTTTGCATGGAATATAGGATTGCTCTTTTTATGCAGTGAATTATGGTTAATGGTGACAGGCTCTAACACAAAAGATGAGGGATACTCGAACAAATGTCCTCCATTCTCTCTGGAATTGTTTTTAGACTGTGAGACTATTTATTTGTATAGCAGACACATGCTACTGAGTCTCAGAGACTCACCCTATAGGAATGCTTCATGCACAAGAGAACGTGTTCCTCTCAACACAGTCATGCTGGACTCACAGCCCTCAGCATCGAAGGACCTAAATAAATGCTAGTCTGATTGTTGTGTCCTCATTCGTTTCCACCCTCTGCTTGCTTTTCTGTCTTTTGGTGGTTTCAGGTGAGAAATACCTGTTTAACCAGGTTGAGGATTCTTTCTACACTATCAGGGCACTCAGACATCTATTCACACAAAAACTATGTCAGAGTCAAGGGCTCAGCCTAAAACAATGTGTATCAATGGATCAGCTAAATAATAAGAAGGTAAATAAAAATAAAAAATAAATACATAAATAAATAAATAATAAGAAGGTAGGTTAATTATTGGCAAAGTCAACAAAAAATAAAAATCTAAAAATGTCACAACATGAAAATGAAAAAGGTTTAAAATTTTAAAAAAATAAGGTGGATGAGAAAAGAAAATAAGAAAAATATTACAATTCTCTTTCTATAAGCCTCTGTTAGAAAAATGTATGCTGGGGGACTAGAGGGAAAGTTCTTGTGTTAAAGAATGGCTTAGTAACTAAGAAAGGGTGCTATTTGCACAAAGCAGAGGAATAAACCACCACCACCACCACCAACAACAACAAAAGAAAACAAAGCTAAAAAACAGACGCGCGTATATAAACAAATAAGTCAATCCATGGGAAAAAGATAGATTTTTCTATTAATCTTCCAGGAAGTTGAATATCCATAGGGGGAATTAAGATCTAACCACTGACCTCACTTTCTACACAAAATAAACTTCAGGTGGATTATAGAGCCAAATATAAAAATACTTAATATAGTATATGGATGCAATTTAGTAAACCATCTTCAGGATCATGGAGTAGGGTAAGAATTCTGAAACTAGACCTAGAAAGTATTGATCATATTAGTGAAAATATATTGTAATACAGTTCCTTTCTTGTAGGGCTTTAGCTCAGATTCAGAACTGGAATGTGGAGTGGTAACAGTGCCTACCTTTAAGATGCTGGGTGGATTGTATGAACTAACAATATATAGTGTGCAGTATAATACCCAGTCTACACTAACCACTAAGACAACTTTTTCTAATAAATGCATCAATTGTAAGATGTATCATTAAATACATTAAATTCCTGTGATTACATGAAATTCAACATATAGACAAAATATATTAACAAAGGTATTCCTAAAATTTATCCTATTCATACCAAACTCTTCTGTATCACTTTCTAACTCTTCTTGTTAATAATTTTCCCCATGTTATCATCATCTGTTCTGATCAGAAGCATTGCTGATACTGTATTTCTTGTGAGATTCCTATGCTACTCTTTGAGATTATTTTTCCAGTACCCACTCTACAAGTTCTGATGCTGATATTACATGAAGATGTAAGTGATGGGTTTTTAGACCATGTTCGCTAACTCTTCTTGTTAATAATTTTCCCCATGTTATCATCATCTGTTCTGATCAGAAGCATTGTTGATACTGTATTTCTTGTGAGATTCCTATGCTACTCTTTGAGTTTATTTTTCCAGTACCCACTCTACAAGTTCTGATGCTGATATTACATGAAGATGTAAGTGATGGGTTTTTAGACCATGTTCATGTGTGTGTACATGAGGACAACCACATTATAAATGCCTCTGGCCAACAGTGTTTTGACACTGTAAATTTAAGATGCATCTATTTTAAAAATATTCACAAAATGTAAAATGTGCAGTACAGGAAAAGTGTAATAAACTATTTTTCTCTATGACTGCCTATTTCTCAGTCTTAAATCATGGTGTTCATCTTCTGTATTCTGGTCTATTATTGGTAAAACATGCCTAAATGTAGTTTTTCATAAATTGACAAACTCCATTTATATTATACCTAGCTATTAGACATATCAGAGTTATTATTGGATTACTGGAATTCTTACTTTATTTGGGTAGAGGTGGTTTTTTAAAACTTTGGTTCAAGAAATCCATTGAAGAGGAAGATAGAAATTGCAAAAAGTTACTTGAAAATTTCATTGGAGTGGTAGCTTTCTAAAGATTTAGAAAAAGCTGCATCTTGAGAATTTCTGCACTAATCTTAGAAATATGAGCAATGTTCCTTGCACAGTGCATTCCAAATTCAATTGTAAAATTTAAAACTTCTGTATAATTGTCTTATTCTTCTTTCCTATTTGTTCTTTGAATCATGTGAATAGTGATCCTACAAATCATCTTATGACTAGTCACAAGGTTAAATGCATTACAGTATTCATAAATTTTTCCCCTCACTACATTGATTAACACTACTTTTGGTTACATGAGTAGTGAGATGGATTTTGGATTTCCCACATAAATATATTGAGTAAAGAAGAAATTCATAAAATTCTTGATTTAAGGTATTGACTGAATCTTCACCCATAATCAGGCTAGAGTACACAGACATGCTGTTGGATGCTTGCCTCATGATGGGGTCTAAGAATTTCACTTGTTTGCAGTGGCATATTTCTAAGATTTGCAGTAGCCAGGCCAAACTTTATGAAGTCTGGTGTTTTAATATCTTGGAGGAAATCATTTCTTCCATGCTGTCAGAGAGTTTAGAGAGTTGGTGATCAGTACCGTGGCACCTGTACTTGTGACATAATGTTAATACAGTCGTTTTTCAATTTCATGTCTTCTCTTATGTCCGGGAACTCAGAGTTCATTGACCTAATTTGCCACAGTAAGAGGGGGCATATCATTCTTTTTTTTTGGGGGGGGGAAGGGGGTCATCCAGAGTTTGGTGAGTAATTTTATTTACAGGTTACATCGATAGATTAGAAAATATGCACTGAAATTAAGAGGAATAGCACATATCATATGACAAGTCATTTAAGTAGTATAGTACCAAAAAAAAAAAAAAAAAAAAAAAAAAAAAAATGGATTAGCCCTCTGTGTGTTAAGATCTCATATTTATTTATTTTTTTTCCTTTTTGTCTTTTTTCGTGACCG